CTGCATTTGCAAATGCAAGATTCAATTGACAGTTGTTGTCCTGCTTTTAACACAGTGGACCTCTTTCGCATGTTCTGTTTCTGCATGTTGTTGACAGACAGTCTCTTCTGCCATCTCTTCAATAATAATACAGTAATGCTCCCACCAGACACAAAAATATTTTTTTCAATTAGTAAAAGTAGGTCTGATGTGTGGGTTTTTTGTTTGAGGATCAAAAACTTTTCAGGTATAAAGTCTGAATTATCTACTTGGCTATCATTTTCAATATTTACAATATTCTTTATTTTCAATATTTACAATATTCTTTACATCTGCAAGTAAACTGAGTATGAGGGCAGGAAAAATGGTTACGAAATTGACTTAGAGTAATTGAATTCAGAATTGGGGTGGAGGGGGGGGGCTATGAAATATGTTGCCTCAATAAGGGGGGGGGGATAGTTTGTTAGAAAAATAAGGGGTCATGAAAAATTTTTGCTATTCATAAAAATTTCCACCAGCCCCCTACCCGGCATTAATAATGACTTGTCCCTTAGCAAAGAATGTAAATCAGGCACACTGTTACATATAACACTTTAACTCGCACAAATGACCTGAGCAAACCGTTGTGTAACTATTGTTGGTATTAATTAGCATCCGGTCTCAATACTAATTTCTGGCTTTTGCCCTTTATCTCATACATATCAGCACTAAAGTGATCTGAACACAAACGACTACTTTTCACAGGAACAGACTTCACTGGCGCATGTTTATTCATATACTCAATCCATATGCTGTACAATTCTGGATGCTTCTTTGCATCAGGAATGCTTAAATATGTGAAGGGAAAAAATTCAATAACAATATGCTTTCATAAATACAAACAGGCCTATAAAATACACTGTACAGTAGGTAGGAAAAACGCACACGAGAACATCACAAGGAACAATGGAAATATAATATTTGAATGAAACAAACTGCATGCAAAAACCTCAGAAAAGAAGCCATAGACGAGAAAAGCTGGTGACACATGAATGTGAACAAAACATAAACTACCGTTTGCTTTACATTGTCATTTGCAGAAAAAACTTCTCGAATGATATCTAAGCACAAAATAATATTTCCTTACCAGTGTGAATACAGTCCGTCTTTGTCAAAGGAGTTGTGACAACCATAAACCGAGCAATATTAACGCGGCATGTTGACAAAATATAAAGTTGTGAAACTTGATAGTTTAATAATTACACAGTGTATACTTTTTGCATCCAGGGGGGTGCGAAAACAGGTGGCTTTCAAAAATATTATGTGGTCAGTGGTAAATCGCCCGAAAATAGTGGACGCGGAGCTCGAAATCCGCCATGGTTTTGCGGACACTTTTTTGTTTGACGAGATATGGGAGCACGGTCTCCAGATATATATAGTAGAGCTCAGTGATTATCTCCCTCTCGCGCTGTTGCGAGGGAGACAGCCTAATTTCGTCACTCTCACGTGATATGCTCTCAACCAATAAAACACTAGAAAAATGCGACTTTGACTATTGATATATAATAATTACTATTTAAGTAACTGCAGTGTAGCGTAATTTAATATAACGTTTTAACAATAAAATATTTCATGCATTTACGTTCATTTGTTCTTTAATTTGTTGTTTCTTTGACTATTGATATATAATAAAACACTTATTTACTGAGACCTCGGGAAAGCAGTGTGTTTTGAAACATCGACGGTCTCGGGTCCACAAAACACACTGTTTCCCTCGGTCTCAGTAAATAAGTGATAATTATCCGGCCGGATACCGGATAATTTGTTTTTCATGAAGTGTACTAAATTTTCGTTAATTGAAACATAAAAAATGCTAAAAGAATAGAAACCCAAAAAAAGGACATGCGAAGAAGCTAGCTACTGATATAATTAATTGAATTAATTAACTATTCGCAGCGTTTGACACCAAAAGCCATACTAAATCCCATCGTTCAAAAACTTTCGGAAGTTTTCGGAAGCACGTGAAAGGTGGAAAAAGTTAAAAACAGATTTTTAGTTATCCATAATTGATTATTTACTCAAAAATTAAAAAAAAATAGTGTCACCTTCTTCTGCACTAATGCATGGATGAGAAAAATCCTTATAAATATATATTATATGTCAAGTATTCAAATTGATAAAATATCCGGTATCCGGCCGGATTTTTTTCAGATATCCGGCAAATCTGGTATCCGGCTGGATAGTAAAAATCACTATCCGGTGCACCCCTGATTTATTTCAAAACTCGTTCTGCCTTTTATCCTCGCACACTAGCAAAGCGGCTTCACGTAAACAAATTCTTAGAGTCTTAAAAATATGCAACATGCACTCACATGAGGGAAAAGATGCAACAATGCGTCACCAGCCAATGTACCAATAGCCAAAGCAATAAAGAACACGAGGGATATTTTATAAAATATCCTGTTCATAAACGGAATAATTGCAACTCCAACAAGCGACAGCAAACTGATAATGGCGACAGCAAGAACACTATAACCCCATTCTAGACAAAATAGAACATACACAATAATAAAAATATGGTACAATCTATTACTTCGTTGCATATACTGTAGATCTATTAAATTGCACCAATCGTTGGGTTTCGGTTAAGTGTTTTATATAGTGGTGCAAACGGTGTTCAATTTCAAATGCATGGACATGCACTAAGGGAGTAAATCCATTTCCCGAGTCAAATCCGAGTCCGGGTCAATCCCGAGCCCGAGTCAAACGCCCGAGTCGCGTAATTAAAAAAAGACGAAAGTGCAGAAGAAAATTCACAGTCGAATAGGGTTAGGAGTAGGTTTAGGGTTAGGGTACTAAGTAATTTTACCGACAAAGACAGTTAAACAGTGACTCGGACATTTGACTCGAACTCGGATTTGAGTCGGTCAGTAACCGACAAACTCCGAAATTGAATAAAATTCACAGTTGAATATAGCCCGCGTGCAGGCCCAAGGGAACTGATAGTGGGCCTGCAAGCAAGGCCCGGTATTTTGTAAAACGCCCCTTTTCATAACACGCCCCATTCGCGCGTCAATTGTCAAAAAAGAACCAATGACAGCACCCAAATCAAGTTAACAAACAAACTCGCATTAAAATGTTGTGGGGTTTTCTCTGCTTATTCAGAACAAAAACAATGTGTAAATGGCAGCGTTTTAACTCCAAAAAAGTAAGCAACGCAGTCAGTAATTGCCAAATTTGCAAGTGCTCATTTTCAACTAAAATCGGAACAGGAAAATTAGGACGAATTTCAACAGAAAACCAGTCTCAAACTTCAAATCGTGAGGGAAGTCGTGCGACCACATTAGCATTTATATTGTGTGCTTCGCTGTCGCCATTGGCATTGTTATAAATAATTAAATTGCCTCACTTATCAGATTGTGTGCGCAATTCTTGTTGGCGGCGGAAAGTACGAAATTTATTTCAGTTATTTCATTTGGTAAAGAACTCTACAAAAGAAGAAAGCGTTCAGAGTCCAGATCGTTTCGCTCCCTCAGCTCTTCGCTCCTTCGCTCTCTCAGCGAAGCCTTGTAAATCGCAAAGTGTTTCGAACAGGCTTACATGCAACTGCATCTCAACATCAACCAAAAGATAATTTTCTTGAGGAACATATAACGTATCAAGTCTGTTTGAAATTAATGAAACTCAAGTAAAGCTAGGTTACTATAGTTTACCCCAGTCGTAATGTTGCTATTCCAACACCTCACGACAAGCAACCCCATTGGCATAACGGCAAAAACATCTATTCCTTCAAGTAAACAATAAACAGTCTGTTCTTGTTCCATTTATAATCGAAAAAAGTGATCAGTTTTCGAATTTTGAGCTTACCGAGAGCCTTTGTGACGAATCACTGACCTAATTATAGAATCCAACAGCAAACAGCCAATCAGAATGCCGCGTTCGTGGGCGAACGCGGAAAGTACAAAATACCGGGCCTTGCTTGCAGGCCCACATCAGTTCCTTGGGCCTGCACGCGGGCTAAGTTGAATAGGGTTAGGGTAAGTTAGGAGTGGGTTATGGTTAGGATTAGGGTACTACGTCATTGAACTGCAAAGACCATCGGTTAAACAATGACTCGGACACTTGACTCGGGCTCGGATTTGACTCTGACTCGGATTTGACTCGGTTAACCGACAAACTCTGCACTAAAGAGAGCAAAAAAAAGACGCCATAGATCCTGCAACAGTCCCTCAAATTTACTTCAGAAAAAAATTAAAATCATGCAAGCGCAAGATTACAGGTACTTCGGTGGGTTGGAACAACAAGACGCAAAGGCCCATGGGAATGCATTCCCATCATTTAATGCGAGACGAGCGGTCAAGGATGTAGCGAAGCTTCTGGAGTCCGGGGGGAGGGAGGGGGGTGTCAGAAGATTTTACTTGAAGTTTGTTCTCTGATGATTATTGATTACTCGTGTAAAAATTGTAATAGACGTTTTTCTGACTAATAACTATTGTAATATTAGGTTGTTAAGCCCCAAAACATGCAGTCTGGCATTTTCTGAAGCGAATTTACAAGCGAGTTGCATCCAAATTGACCAAGTCACTGTTTTACACAAAATTTCAATTGTTTGGATTTTTGTAAAATGATCAGATTCTTTCAAGTAATTTAACATAATATTTAAATTATAAGACTTTACAAAACATAACAACTTTATTACTCACATTTTACCAGAAAATGTCAAAATTCTTTTCTTTTTCTTCTTTTTTTTTGAGTACACTCGTGTAGATAATTTTAAAGCATAATAGTATAGAGTCTATAGAATTTTAGGCATGTATAATTTATCTAAAGTTGTGGATTGCAGCATAGACTAACGTTAGTCACATTTGTCTATTAAGCCTTGGTTGTTTTAATAAATTTTCTAGCGACTTCATAAATTATAGGAGCGTTTCTTTATATTCCTTAGGGGCGGACCATTTGATTTTTGAGGGGGTTGGGGGTTGGAAGATTCAGACTGTGCAAGAATTTTTTTCCACCCAGGGGAATAAGACAGATATTTTTTTCCTGTAAAAGTGCAGCGCAAGATATTTTTTCCCCAATATATTTCGCGGCAGGATATTTTTTTTTGCCCCTCATAATAACTGCTTACAGTAACTTAAGGCTTTCATATAGCTATTGTTTCTGTTAGCCGGGGTTTTCAGTCAGAGGAGGCCGAGCCTGAATCCCAAGAGGGGCCAAGGAATTTTCACTGTGCTTTATTTTATATAGTTATGTCTTAATGTTCCCCACACTAAAGCGTGCAGGTTTACTTACAAAAAATGTATAACTGCACCAAAACCTAAAGCATGCAGGGATAGAGTAGAGTACTCGAAAATGGGGGAGGTACGGTATATGAATGACCTGTAACCTTGGGGGGTTTGGGGGCATGCTCCCCCGAGAAAATGTTAAAATTTGAACTTCGGAAATGCTATTTCCTGCGTTTTCAGCCATGGCTTCGTCCAACAACTTTGCTGTACTAAGCCTAAGGAACACTTACTGTCCTTTATTTTAAACAAGGGAAAATCACAAAATGAGCTTTGATTAATATGTAATAAAACAAGATTTCAATAATGCGATTTTTAACTGCCTTCCGAAACAACAATGTTCCACCAAATATAGCTCTGTAGCTTTTCAATCGTTCATACAAATAGCTTGTTGGGGATCGGGTTGCATCCTCTTCAGAAATTTTTTAAAATCTAGGCTCTCTAAACTGGCATTTTCGCATTAAAATCATCGTATATACAGTACGTTCAACTTGCATCCTGTAGATGGGCCTTTGAAGCTTTAATAGTTTGGAGCTATGTTATCAAAAAACGCACACAGACCACGGGCAATAGCTCAGTAGATTTACAAGTAGGAATTTTTTTTGAGCGCTTTCTTTTGCATGATATTTTTTTCCTCGATTGTATGCTGCATAATTCTTTTTTTCTTTCTCCTTGGATTGCAGGAAATTTTTTCGAAATCTTCAAACCCCCCTCAAAAATCAAATGGTCCGCCCCTTAGTATGTCTATAATAGTATAATGTTTGAATTAATTTAATTTTTTCATGATACGCGGGCTATCTGAATTTCATGCATAACTTACTATGTTTTGCAGCAACATCGTCGTTAGAACTATGATCATCATGTGATTCTGCACAAGCCTCACTTTCTATTTGTTGAAGTAAAGCTGAACTAAGACTTTGAAATTTCTCCAGTGTAAAGCCTGTCATTCTTTCCACTTGGTAAATGGCGAAAAGTTCATCACCGGAATAACACTAGAAATAGAAAATTTCTGTATAATCAATTTTCGAGCTAATTTATAATTACGTTGCATCATACAGTTTCTAATAATATTCTTCGCAAAAAATTGTCCTAACGCGGTAGTCCCAGTAGAACAGGAATATTAATTAAAGGAGGAAGAAAGAAAGTACATTTTTTTTACCAATATTGCCTTCAAAACATTGCAGGAAGTGATCTAAATCTAGGTATGTTTTAGTACATATCAATGTATATTGCGTGTATGTCACATTTTATGTGTGGAACAAACAAGGTGTAATTATTTATTATATGATTGTGCGGTCCATTCGCAAAATGCCGAGCATTTTGACTTAGTTCCTGAGGATCGGAAACCAACAGTACTGACCGCCAAGATAGCTTCTCGGGAAGAAAAACTTATATAACTCTTTCCCATGCATTACAAAAGTTATAAATATGTGACCTTGAACCGTGGTAAGTTTTTATGTCACATGACTCACTATAGCTATGGCTGTCATTGAACGGCTTTTTCGTCGAAATAAAGTGAAAGTTGCGTTACAAACTGGCACTGCTCTGGTTTCACATTTATTCTATTAATATTAGAACATTTTATATCGTTTTATCTTAGTCATAATATGTTTACTTGGAAAGAATCTTTAAAAAAATTCTTCAAAATTATTATTGCGGCTCTTTAAAACTTTGGAAAATTCTTTGTTTTGAGGAAATTTCCTCAAACGTGAGAGCGCTGTCAACCTCGGGGACATGGTTGCATGGAGCGCTGTAAAACTCAGAACCACTAGTTTAGGATCTTTAATTAAAGACTAAAAGTCGTAAGCTTTCCAAGAAACAATCTTGGATGTTAATTAAACATCATAAGTCATACCTGGGACCATTATTTATAAATAGAATTATCCCTAATTTAAATCGTATTATATAAAAGCTCTATTTTTATGGCTTCAACGTTTAAAATATACCTTCTTCGGCTTGTCTTGTTTGTTGTAAAATTATCAGATAAATTGCATTTTTAAAAATTTTCTTCTTTAAATGAACTGGAAAACCATTTGGTCATTTCACCACAATTTATTTCGAAATTTTATTACCTTCTGATACTTGTTAGTTTCATTGCCATGATCATGACCTGTGGTTTGTCTTCTATATCGCCTCTGAAGACTATGTGGCATTCCTTGGATTTGTGACTGCAATGGATCCTCAGGGATAGTCAGGGACCTACGACGTCGATGACTGCCATGACCATCGTGGTCATCATGATCGCTGTCATCATCCTGCTCATCGTCTCTGCCAATTTTTAATTTCTTCAATAAGTTTTCAATTTTTTCTTTACTAATGACGCCATTATCTGCATATTCTTGAAACAACTGGTTGACAAAATGCGAAGAGCAAGGTAAAGAGGACTGGTATCTAACCTCAATGCACTGTGCCTGAATTAACCTAGATATAATGATCACGCTTATCTCTGGTAAGAGAGATTTCCCGATATCAGCACCACTTGAAATATTTAGTTGGTGGAAGATATCATCACTTGAGAAACACTAGAAAAGTTTAAATATATTGAATGTTAATAAGCTTTGAAAAGGTGGTAGTGTGTAGCTACATTTTTTAATGAATGTTTAATTAAAAGAGTGCTTTATAATATCCAGTGAACTGTTGTGGTTTGTTTTTGAACTATCTATTAAATTAAAATGAAAAACAACTTTTAATTTCGAGCAACAACCATACGTCAGCAAGTTACAAATAACAAAAGAGTATTTCTATCATCGGAAGGAATTTTAAGGATATTGCGTTTTCAGCAACCCAGTGGTTCCTACCGCACTAACTGGAACCCGTCATTCAAAAACTACAATCATGCATAATAGTTCAAAACGCTTTAACATAATATAGGTATGGCCCGCAGAAAGGTACTCTGACAGCAAGTACAGCAGCATAAGCTTCCTCTACCATTTCTAGGTTTTTGCATAAGTTAGTACATAAAACGCTGATTCCTTGGTATTCCCTCTTTTGAAAGATAGTTGTATACTGGTAGCACATTATACTTCATGTCTTTAATTATATTAAATAATTCCTCGGGATTCTCCATATAACAAAGATATTTACGATGCGCACAACCCAAAGAAAATTATAAATGTTCAAAGTAGTATTGAGATGCAAACGGCTTATTCAAAACTTCATAAATTATAGTAGTATGCAATCAATATTAATTAGATTAATTCAAGCACATAAAATTTTAACACGTCGGTCAAATTTAGCACATTTTCTCCCACTCGTGCGAGCTCATATTGTCAGCGAACATCTCGCACAAAATTGGCAGCCGCGATAAACCGCAAATCTTTCAAATGATAATGTACACCAGGGATGCATTTGTCAATAAACGACGACTTTGAGCTAGCTGAAGAAGCTTTAGCTGCATGCTCCTGTTGAGAAAAGAACTGTTTTTCTGAAAACGGTATTAATGAATTCTGAAAGCGATGATTAATAAATAACCGTAGACAGAGCATTTATATTATACATTTTTATCACATATTGATGTTTTTTACTAGTAATTTTTGAATAAATGTCCACACGAAATAAGACGTCCAGAGTCCAGAAGTCAACCATTTTATGAAAGTGAAATGGAATTTTTGTGAAACTACAAAAATGATGGGAATTCTATAGAAAAATATGTCAATGAAAATACTAAAATATGTCAATGAAAATATATGATTTCGAGATTCAATCTCGTGCAAAAATAATAATTAATGAGACTCTTGATATTTCGTTCTATTTCCGTGATTACTTCTCCCCCTCCCCCTTATACAATGTTGAAAAAAACCTGACAATATACCTTTGTATTGTTTATCCAACATTGTCTCAATAACTTTGGCATGGGATTGTAGGTGTGGACACATTCAGAGAAACATCGCAATCATATATTTTTACCTGAGTACACAACACCAGAAACACGAATGTGAAATGAAAAGTTACATATAATATTACACATAATATGAACCTAGTGCCCTCTTAGATCTGTATACACTTGTGCTCTACATGTTCTTATGTGTTTTTCTTATCAATCTTATCCCCAATCTCGTACGCAACTGTCGTATCCCAAGTTTAAAATCGTCCCAGGCCCCAAATTTCGAAATGTTGAAACATGTGTGGAATACAGTTTGATCTTTTGGGTTGATTTAGCCTACGTGCGCAGGCTAGGGATGATTTGGAATAGCATTGGTAATTTATGGAATTTTTGTTAAATTTACGGGAAATGTTTGCTGTCATATATGGAAATTGCCAATTTTAATGTGAAAGCACTGTTGACTCAAGCAAGACATTCTGCAATCTTGGACATAGGTCATAGCTCTGGTTGAGACTATTTTTCCCCATATTCTTATGATAAATTCCATGTTGTGCTTCTTAAGTCCCCTCCCCCCCCCCCACCCCCAACTCAATGTTGATTTAGCTTGTGTGTCATGGTAAATTACCAAAAGTTGTTTCGGTATTGTTTACAATATTGGATTGCATTAACTTTGCAATATAGATTGTAGCAATTATTTAGCAATTATTTTGCGAATCGAATAAATATATATTTTTAATTAACAACTTAATGAACTTATTATTATTATATAAATAACCGCACAGCGTGTCTGTTGACTTTCCTGGCACAGAATTTTCTGGTATTGAATTAGTGACCGCGCCTAAATGTCAAAAACAACTATTGGCGCCTCTGTATTGGTGGGGCAGATAATTGCAGTTAGTGAAGAAAGCACCATATTAACAGTATGTGTAGACTTTGACACAAGTATGAATATCAGATATGGAGACATCTGTGAAATTAACGCTGATAGCTAAAAATTTTGAATTTCTGACATTTTAAATTTAATATAAATTTCTATTACTGCATGATAAAAATTTTAAAATTCCAAGGTAGCTCACAGAAAAAGTAAGTTGTATTGTTGAAACTTACACAAAAAACTGTCTATAGAACATTAAAGTTTTTTTATTTGCCAAGTTGTTTTTAAATTTAATAATCAGTTCCGAAATCGCACAAAATAGATAAAAAAAAGAAGGTGCAAAGACTGACACTAGCTTCAAATCGCCTTTTTTAACAGGTTGCAGCGCAGGAAATATTTGGAAAATAAAAAACTGCTTTAATGTTCTATAGACATTTTTTGTCTACTTTTCAGCCACATATAACTCATTTTTTTTTTAAGATTTCGAGCAGTCGGATAGAAATTTATAACAAAAAGTCAAATATTCCAAATTTTTGGCTATTAGCGTTAATTTCACAGATGCCTCCATATCTGATATTCATACTTGTGTCAAAGTCTACAAATGCTGTCAATATTGTGATTTCTTCACACAATGCGCAATACTTTCACTTATCCGCCCCACTAATTGGCGTTTTGCTCTCAACCTTTTTGCGTGAGGTGGTCGCGTATCACGTGAAACTGCTGTAACCTCGATATAAACCTCACAAAAGAAATTATAAACAATCTAGTTTATATACATAAAATTTCGTCGTTGTAAAATAATTATGAGTGGGTGTCAATTTTAATAACACAAAATTAAGCCTGTAGCCTACTAACTTGCGGCCAGAGTGCATAGAGGCGATCGCAAGTTAGCCGTATATATGACTAACAATGGCGAAAGAGCAAAAACATGATCTATATGAAGTATTATAGAATCCTCAACAGGTAAGTAATGCGGGCGCGTATGAGGTAATAGCATAATTAATAATAGATAAATTAATAGTTTATCTATTATTAAATATACTATTCTTGGGTTTCACTATGGCATTATGCAGTGAATCTGACGGAGGGTCAACCTCAAATGTATATTGATGCTCATGCTGTACTGGAGTGAGGAATTGGAAATGATACGAAATTCAAAGTATTTGCCACCAAACGCAAGGCTAATACATAAAACGAACAATCGACTCACTCAGTTGCATGAGCTATCTATATGGTTGAGCCCCCCTGTGGACTAACTTTGACAACATGAATAAATAGGTTAACTACATGATAGGTTAACTGCATGGTGACGCATCAAAAGAGTGTACTGACAATGTACTGTCGACAATATAAAGGTCTAGGGCAAGAAGAATCACTGTAAAAGATATACTCTTGCACTCTGGCTCGCCAGAATCAGAAACGGAATGTAAAGTGACCACAAATAATTTCCAAATATCGTATAATAATCAGTTGTAGTAGTTATAATATTCGATCTAAAAGTATAAATACAAGAATTATCTACTGAATAAAGTAAATTAGTTATGATAAACAACATGAACTTACTTCTTTGGCCTATATCACTTTACAATACACCAAATATAAACCTATTTCTGAACGTTAAACCTCGAGTAAACAGCTTAAAACCAACGTGTTTATTTCCCGCTATTTTTCTGTCACGTGACTTTGTCTGTTCAATGACGTAATTATTTATCTATTTTTAAATTAGCGAAACATCCTCCACCCCAATGAGGACATTGTTCTCATTCTATTCTCCGTCCACGGGGTGTATTACTGAGATCTTAGTAATAGGTCTTCGGTAATTACCATTTTGTGTTTTTACTGTTACATTTCGAACTTTTCCATCTTTACCTGGGTGAACTTCAATAATTCTTCCGATCGTCCAATTACCTCGTACCGCATTCGAATCAACTAACATGACAATATCGTTGACTTTGACATCGCGTCGTCGAACATCCCATTTCTTTCGTGAAACTAAACAGGGGAAGACGTCTCTAGTCCATCGTTTCCAAAACGAGTCAAGAATCTGTTGTAGAAATTCAACTCTATGACGCGGGTTCTTTGTCTTCAGGAATGGTCCTTGTGGAACATGCGAGGAAGCTCTTCCTAATAAAAGGTCATTCGGACATAGGTATGTACCATCATCGGGGTCGTTGGTTGGTCTACCAATTGGTCGTTGGTTTACCAGATTTGCTACTTCAAGCAGTACGGTGTGCAATTCAAATGGTGTAAGAAGGTTATCTCCCATGGCTTGTTTAAGGGCTAATTTACAACTTTTTACTAACGATTCGGCACATCCGTTTTGATGTTGGGCATTAGGAGTAATGAATTTCCACTCCATTCTTTTATCTGCTGCATACTCCTTGAGTTTCTTCACATCCCAACCTTGGATCATCTTTGCTAGTTCGCTCTCTGCGCCGACCAGTTGTGTTCCATTA